AACATATTTCCACTTATGGACCAATTCCCTTTAAAGGGATTTTCAGTATAGCTCTAACAATGCTTTAAATTATTCTCCTATAAAACATACATGTATATGACAGCCAATTCCCTTTAAAGGGATTTCAGTATAGCTTTAACAATGCTTCAAATTATTCTCCTATAAAACATACATGTATATGACAGCCAATTCCCTTTAAAGGGATTTCAGTATAGCTCTAACAATGCTTCAAATTATTCTCCTATAAAACATACATGTAAATATGCAATTCCCTTTAGAGGGATTTCAGTATAGCTCTAACAATGCTTCAAATTATTCTCCTATAAAACATACATGTATATGACAGCCAATTCCCTTTAAAGGGATTTCAGTATAGCTCTAACAATGCTTCAAATTATTCTCCTATAAAACATACATGTATATGACAGCCAATTCCCTTTAAAGGGATTTCAGTATAGCTCTAACAATGCTTCAAATTATTCTCCTATAAAACATACATGTATATGACAGCCAATTCCCTTTAAAGGGATTTCAGTATAGCTTTAACAATGCTTCAAATTATTCTCCTATAAAACATACATGTATATGACAGCCAATTCCCTTTAAAGGGATTTCAGTATAGCTCTAACAATGCTTCAAATTATTCTCCTATAAAACATACATGTATATGACAGTACAGTGTATTATTATACAAAATATGAAGGAATATTCTCATGTCATATGATGTCATATACGATGTTAATTAACCAAATGATCGATATAAGAAAAAATTCCAGTTTCCTTCTATGCACCATGCTACAATATAGGGAACAAACTAGTTAATCACCCCTCAATACAACATCTGAATTGGTTATCTTCATGTTTTTGCATCATAGTATTATAATGCACAATTTATGGTGTAAATGCATTTATTAAAGCCTTTGATATTATATTACTGTACATTTGAACTTTAATCATGCATTATTTATCTTTGAATTTTGAATTTTAGCAGCTCTTGTTTTAATAAATTAATGACAACAAAACATTGATATCAGATGAGATATTACCTGTTAGTTTTGTATAAGCATTAAAATGTTTTCTTTTGTTTTGTTTATAGAGCTCGTATCCTGATGTGAAATTACATGAGAAGAAATATCTTTGCTCAGGAGGTTTGTTCTTTATCTTATCATTTTTAATTCTTTTTAATTTATTTGATTTAATTTCTTTTCATTTTTAGCTCGACTTTTCTATGAAAAGGGGAGCTATCCTACTCGCCCCGGCGTCGGCGTCGGCGTTGGCGTCACACCTTGGTTAAGTTTTTCGTACCACCCCACTTTATTTCAGAAGTATTACAAGTATGGCTTTGAAACTTACCATACTTGTTCACCATCATAACCTCCATCTACAGACAAGAGTACATAACTCTGTCAAGGTTTTTGACAGAATTATGGCCCTTTTTTGACTTAGAAAGTGTATTGAGCTTGGTTAAGTTTTTTGTACCACCTCACTTTATTTCAAAACCATTGGAGGTATTGCTTTGAAACTGACCATAACTTGTTTACCATCACGACCTTCATCAACAGACAAGAGGACATAACTCTGTCAAGGTTTTTGACAGAATTATGCCCCTTTTTGACTTAGAAAATACATTGAATATGGGTAAAATCCACTTATTGCCTTAACCCTTTGAGATATTGCTTTGAAACTTTTAATGCTATTTCACATCATTACCCCATCTGTACGCAAGAGAAGGTAACTCTGTCAAGGATTTGTTTTAAAAATTAAGGCCTTTTATCGACTTAGAATCTTGGTTAAGTTTTTAGTACCAGTCCACTTTTTGACTGAACTGTTTGAGATATTAATTTGAAAGTTGGAATACTTGTTTACAATCATGATTCCCAAACATGTCCAGGAGAAGGTAATTCTGTCAAAGATTTTATTTGAATTATGGCCCTTAACTGTCAATGTTTTTGTATTATAGGCAAGCACTAAAAAAACTTAAAAAATCTAAAAAAATTCATTCCTATCCACTTGTTCACTTTACCATAAATTATGTCATATAAACATTGCTGTAATATTCAAGGGTATCAAACAACTAGTTAATTTTTCTCTTTTTGTACTTGAAATTAAAATCAGTAGTATATGCATATTTCACATTTTATCTTCCTTGGCATAGATTTCTTGAAAAATTATGTTATTATGTCATTTACCAAGGTGTTCTGAGTGACGTAAAAATACCTTATTCTCTCAAAGTGGGTTTAATACTATTAAATTTATTTAAGGCTCAACTCAGTTTTTTTTTCTTTCTTACCAGCCCTCTTTTGACTTAAACATTTCAAACTTTGCTGCAGTGTTCAAGGGTATCACACAATTCAGTAAAATAATTCTTCACTAAATATCTTAATGCTCATGGCCATTGTTCACTTTAAAAATACAGAGATTCTTGTATTGCCTTTTACTGCAAAAACTTTTTTTATTGGCAAGCAATAAAAAAGTCGAGCGCGCTGTCTTACGGACAGCTCTTGTTTATATAAATTTATGCACTCCTGACTATTGTGTTTATGTATAAATATAATTATAGTCTTTAGCATAATTAACAAATCAGGTAGGTAATACCATTTACAATATGCATGTAGGCTCACATAACATATCAATTTATTATGCTCCCCAAAGGGAGAGCATATAGTAGCCACCTTGTCCGTCTGTCCTTCTGTTTGTCCGTCCGTTCGTTGTCTTGTCTGGAGCATAACTTGAAAACCCTTGGAGATAATTTGTTTAAACTTCATACAGTGGTAGAGGGCATTGAAGTGGAGTGCAGCGTCAAAGAACCATAACTCTATTTTTTACCGGTTTTTGAATTATCTCCCCTTTTAGAAAAACATAACTCTAAAACTATAAGAGATATCAACATGAAACTTTGTAGGTAAATAGATCTCAACGGGAACATGTGAAGTGCACAAGAATCATAACTCTATTCTGTTCAGTTTTTGAATTATCTCCCCTTTTAGAAACATCTTGTCCGGGACATAACTCTAAAACTATAAGAGATATCAACATGAAACTTTGTAGGTAGATATATCTCAATGGGTAGATGTGCAGTGCAGAAGAATCATAACTCTGCCTTGCCTAATTTTGGAGTTATTGCTCTTTGTTTATTTTTACTTTTTGAACTTTGTCTGGGACATTACTCTAAAATTATAAGAGATATCAACATGAAACTTTGTTGGTAGATAGATCTCATTGAGTAAAAGTGCAGTACAAAAAAAAACAAGTCTGTTTTGCCTAATTTGTGAATTATCTCCCCTTTTAAAAAAATCTTGTCCGGGAAATAACTTTAAAACTACAAGAGATATCAACATGAAACTTTGTAGGTAGATAGATTTCAATTGGTAGATGTGCATTGCACAAGAACTTAAACTACGCCTTGCCAAATTTTGTAGTTATTGCCCTTTGTTTATATTTAGCTCGACTTTTGAAAAAAAAAAACGTAGAGGTATTGTTATAGTCCTGGCGCCGTTGCCGTTGCTGTTGCCATTATACCTGGATCACCCCTTTTTAGTTCTTGGTGTATAAATGTCTTCATACTTGGCCACAAGAACCCTTGAGACAAGACCGTTCAGTAGACCCCACTAACCTTGACCTTCATCCATGAATGACCTTGACCTTCAAGTTTAAAACTCCAAATTTTGCTTGTTCTTGCTATTATTGGCTGTAACTTTGTTGTTTTTGAATGGATTATCTTGAAACTTGAACATAATAATCTTCAAGGATAACCCTAAAAAATAACCAGACCGCCTTGACCTTCACTTATAAATGACCTTGAATTTGCACAGGCCCTCTGAGTGAACAAAGTTCTACTGTAGTTCAGTTATATACAGTTGACTCTCGGTAACTCGAAATCCAAGGGACTGGGCATTTTACTTCGAGAGAAACGGAATTCGAGTAACGTGGATCTGTCGCCATTACATTGACATTCTTACATGTATATACATGTGCCTGATTGAATGTGCAACGAAGTATGTTTGTTATTGTTGATAGCGACAATGCCGCAATATTTAACCGTTGAAATGACGGTACATCACTTACAATTACAAATTATAAATGAAAAAAATACATGTATATTATGCACAATAACACATTTATTTCAACAACAATTTATCTAATATTTGAAGTCTATTGATCATCGGACGAAAACGAAAGTAGCAACCGGAAATAAATATTAATGTATGCAATATGACGGAACATGAATTATACAAATGTGATTTACGTTGATAACACACATCAATACATAGGCTGTTATTGACTAACACCTGTCAGACTGGCACGAGTTCAACTTTCTTAAAAAAATGTATTTAAATCTTAATTTTTATATCTAACTGTTAAAACCAATTAAGTCCTGAAACCGATTAAAGCCACGTTTACGACGTGTTAATAATACATGATGACCGGCAATTAGAATTACTTTGAAACGTGTGAATCGCGAATGACAACATCTCACCTTGATGTAACCGACCTTTGATCAGTCGGCTGTTTTCACACTTCGACTAATTGAGATGAAAATATGTTGGACTTTAATTGACGGGACCAAATTTTCTTTTCGACTAAACAGGAGTCTCAGTAAGTCAAAATTTGACCTATTAGCGGAGTTAAAATACAAAGATAAAGAAGGAAATTTGACGGGACTTTAGAAATTCTTTGACTTACGCGGAATTTTGAGTAAAGCGATTTTGACTTATTGAGAGTCAACTGTATCTTAAATTATGTGCACATTGTTTACAGCATAAGTATAATAATAAAAATGTTTTTTTATTTCAGGATTTATTGGGTATGCTAAGGACGTGTATGAAATTATTTCCCACAATGCAGTAGCAGATAACGATGATGACCAGTTATATTACACTAAAATATTTCTAGACAAATCTCTCCAGGTATGATTCATATCTATGTACAAAACATTACCACTGTATAATAAATAACAGTAAAATCTATGTTTTGATTAAAACTTCCATTGTTTTGTAGATTCTGTAGGGTAGAGGTATTACATGAAAGTCAGGTGCCCATTCGTGCCTGAAATAATGCACGGAGGGGCGTCTGAGGTCTTCCTCCACCAGTAAAGCTGGAACGTCCCGATAGGACCTATACTTTGTCGATGTGACATAAAACCCAAAACAAAAAATACATGAAAGATAGTTTTTTTTGGTATCTTGTCATATATTGGTAACTGTAAGTCAGTTCTTTGCAAGTTACCTGTGTTTATCAACTCTATTGGAGAGAGTTTACAAATAAAAAGAATAGTGATATTCAGTGGAAAATAAACACCAATTATCTTCTTTGTGTTTGTGTGCATAGTGACAAAATAGTCCATGGCCAAGTTGTTAAGGTCGTTCACCTCTAAGAACTTGCATGTCACTGCTGTGATTTTGGATCACTCCGGGAATTTTTTATTTATCATTTGAGGAAGCTATCAGCTAGCTTACAGAACGTCAGTGGTTCTACTTAGGCTAGGTGCCAACTCTTGTCTGATATAATGCACAGAGGGGCAACTAATGTTTTCCTCCACCAGTAAAGATGGAAAATCAACATATGACGTATTATATGTATTGTTGCATTAAGTTTTCATTGTTGTCAGTACGTAGAAAATGTGCATTTGTCTAAATCAATGTATTTTTTTCTCTTCTACAAACATTGATTGGTATAAGAACTTAAAAAGGTACTTATTTATACATACAATTTCAGGAGAAGTGGAATATAAAATTGGATAAAAGATCAGAAATATTTATGAACCTACATGGAGCTCTTGGTAATATATACATGTATTATATTTGTAACACCTAGTCTTTAAAACTACATTTAATAAATTTCCGTGAAGCTAAAACGGTTAAAGTGTGTTTGCAAAAGAAAATATCTTAGTGTTTGAAATTATTTTTGTCCAATATAGATTGCAATTTTTCAAATAAATCGTAACACATTTACTTTGATAAATCCAGTCTAGAAAATCGACTGTTTATAAAAACAATTAAAAACACTAAGCAGGTTAAAATTATTTTAGTATGTATTTACAAAAATAAATTGGCCCGCGCGGCTGTGTCGTGCCTGACCAAATTATTTTTGTAAATACATACATATAAACTTTAACCTATACATAATTGCTGTGTTCTGGATAGCGACTATAAAACTGTGACATAGCGCATACACGATCTAAATAAAAGCCTTCATTTGCATGTTAAAATTTGTATACGGACTTTAGTGTTACCGTGGGGTTTTCTGTTTAAATTCCTAATTTATGAACAATATTTGATGAGATTTTCAACAATGCTGTTAAAAAGGTTAATGAAACTGTAGAATGCTTGGTTTTTAGGCCGACGGCAAAATATATTTACATATTTATTTAATGTAGCTTTAACTGAATTTTTTATAGAAAATTTTTCACTAGATGATTTACCTGTAACACATAAAATGTTACTGGCATTTTAACTTGCCTATGTCACAGTATAGAACCTGGTCATTATTTTATATTTCATGACTTTCGATTTAAAATTGTAAGTTAAAAACATGGATTTTTATTTGAAATTCAGTACAATTCATATACAAATAATATGTAATTTAAATTACATTACTGTGTATTGAAGTGCTATCCAGAACTCACAGTGCTGTGATGTACAGAGATATGCTGTACTGAGTTGTACTGCCCAATCCAATTACAGTATCTTGTTAGCAATGTAAACATTGTCATTATTGTTCAAAATTTTGCTATAAATTAATTTTTGATGTTATTTTTATAGATGATGTCATGTTAAAGTATAAAGGGCAGCACAGTTTTCTCTACAATGTTAAAACAGGCACAGTTCCCATTGTTATTCATGGAAATGGACCAATTAAGGTTTGTATTGATACTGACAAGTAAATTAGCAAATCATTACTGAGATTTGAAAGAATAATTAAATTACTGGCTCTCTATCTAGGCAGAAGTCTGTCGGGATATAGCCGGGAGATCAGAGACCTGATTGGTGAACTCTGTATGCTTTATAAATTGTAATGTTGGGAAGGTATTGGTATATTTGGAGTTTGGAATTAAAAGAGTATAAAAAATGGATAACTTGAAACTAAAGAATGTTTACATGCCAGTGAAGTTATTGACGTTTCTAGTTTAACTAATTGGAAAATGGAAGGGTTTTTCTTAACTCAGACTGAAGTACAAGTTACTCAAAGATTATGTATTAGGTTTTCTTCCATCAGTAAAGCTGGAAAGTTGCCATATGATTTTACAGTATTGGTGCGACATAAAACCCAACCCGATAAAAAAATAATGATAAGATGTTTCTTTAATCTTTACTGGGTAGGTCATTGACCCTATTAACTTGCTTTTTAAGCTTGACTATTTGCAGAAAAATTGAGCCAATGCTTTCCTATTTGTCGGCGTCGGCATCCCAGTGGTTAAGTTTTTACGTGTAAGATTCTATCTACATAACTACTGAATGAAATGGCTTGAAATTTCAAACACTTCTTCTTTGTGTTTATCTTTCATGATTGGCAAAAGTCCCATAACTCTGATTTGCTTTTTTGCATATTTATGCCTTCATTTTATCTAGAAATTCTTGTTTATGTTTTTGCGTGTAAGGTGGTATTTGCGTAACTAATGAAGGGTTTGTGCCTTTTTGTGACAATTTTATGCATTCTTAATAATCAAGCAGTGATTTACTTAATGAAACACTCTAATAACAACCCTTTGTATGCTTTTGGGATAATTTTATGTATTCATATAGGTAAACATTTTACTCAATGAAACACCCTTGTGATATTTCAAGCATTGCTGTCCACTGACAGCTCTTGTTATAAATGTATGACATAGTTGTACATCAAGATATCATCAACATTTTTAAGGTTTTATATTTTATGAGAATTTAGGTGGCAAACATTATTAATTCAATGTTTTTTTCTTCATATAGCCAGAGTTTAACAGACTTGCTAATTATTTAGCGGACAGTTGGACATCAAGTTCAGGATGTATTGCTTGTCAGGAAGATACCATTAATCTTGAGGGATTGCTGGTAAGTTTATAAGTTAACATACTATTATAATAGTAGGGGTGGCAGGATAGGTGTGATGTCAGAATTATAGTATTCCTTAACCAAGAGGTGACAAGATGATTTTTTAACTCCACATTTAGCTTCAGAAATGAAGAAATTCTTTCATTCTGTAGTGGTAATATATGTTGTATATAATGGTTATGTGAAATTATTTGTTGTATAGGTAGCAAAATGAATGTTAGCAGTGCCTGTATAATGAATAAATAATGACAGCTAATTATAATTACTTTTGCAAATTCAAAGTTCTGATTGCAAAAAAGTTATGCAGGGCTCTCTATAGGGTTAGTCCAACAAACTGTTGTACTGTAACTTTAACTAGAATGATAACAGAAAAATGGAATTAAAGTGATATATAGAAAATGTAACCAGAATGATCAAAAGAAGAATGTAATTAAAGTGATATACGGTATAGAAAAAATGTAACCAGAGTGATCAAAAGAAAAAATGTAATTAAAGTGATATATAGAAAAAATGCAAACCAGTGATAAAAAGAAAAATGTCATTAAAGTGATATATAGATAAAATGCAACCAGAGTGATCAATAGGGGAAAAAATGTTATTAGAGTGATATATACAAAAATGTAACTTATATGTAATTGATATATATATAAAATGTAACTTGTAAATATAATATTTTGTGACTATTTTTTTAAAGGAAGAGGATTATCCATCTATTGTACTGGGAATGTTTGTGGAGCATCCAACACCATTTCTTAGAGAAGCCTTACAGAAGATTGCAGCATTAGATTATCCTAAACAGAAAATTGATTTCTTTATTCATTCATCAGTGAGTGAACATCTCTTATACTAGATAAACTTGTATTTCTTATTAATTCTATTTTTAGCTCAACTTTTTTTTTCAAAGGAAAAAAAAATAGAGGTAATGTGCATGGCATTCTTGTCTGCAAACTTCAACATTGATCATTACGTTTTAAGTTATTTGTGCATTTACCATCTAATATAAAAAAGATTTTAAGTTGCTTTTTATATCTTTATATGGTAGCCCTGGTTTATTTGTATATATAATGTAAGCCTAATTAATTAAGCATGAACGTTTTGACTTATTTAGCTAACTTTTTTTCCTACTGCCAAACTGTTGAACAATGTGAAAAAGACATCCCGCAGTCAAAATATATGATGTCTCTTTTACAAGTCTAATTACACTGACTAATTTTATGTCAGTTAGTTAGTACATGTATATACGCTATAACAAGGTGTGTTATCTACAGGATATTGTTAATATATTGATTAACTTATTTTTAATTTATTTATCTACTGTATGAACTAGTTTCATTACTGTTTCTCGTTTTGTATTTTTATTTTCAGTTAAGAAATCACCAGAATGAGATAGATTTATTCTTGAACAAGGTTGGAATATTGTACAAGTCTGTCAATACTATAGGTTCATATGACAGTATTGGTGAAGCAGCAGCCAGGAACTGGGCCATGTAATACATATATATAATTATTATATACTTATAAATGAAATATTGAGAAATATCTCAAGGGTCAATGTGAATAAAAGTCCAACTGAATAAAATAAATAAAAGTTCTGTTACTTTAGGAAGCAATTATCAAGCATACTAATCAGTGAATAAAGTACCTGCTGGTGTTTGAGTTATTTAATGTTTTGAGTGAACACAAATGACTGTCCTTCCAATTGATAGCTGGAAAATTACCCGATGACCATTACAGGAAATCTTTGACTTGAAATACTACCAAATTAAATTCTCAGCATTAAAATGGGCAAAATGTCACTTCACTTGAAATAGTACCAAATTAAATTCTCAGCATTAAAATGGGCAAAATGTCACTTCACTTGCCATGGGTTTTATATTGATTTGTTTGTTTCTAGAGAAGAATGTATAAAGAAAGATTGTCAGTATTTCTTCAACGTGGATGGTGATGTTCATCTTGAAAATGATCAAACATTAAAACTATTGATACATCAGAACAGGTGAGACAAGTTTACATTTAGAAAATAGACGTCAAGTTTGAATGCATTGTTGAAGAGTAATGCATGGTTGGTGCTCAAATTAGCAATAAAACATCAATTACTATTTTTAGTAGATCAAGGTGATAAATGACTAAGCATGTGAAAGATGAACCATGTATTACTCTGCTACAACACAAGAAATATTCATATCTATTTCCAATTTAATATGCTAATAGAAAGAGAACTGATAAAAATATGTTGAATTTCATTGCACGAAGAACTTATTTTCAAAACATCATTTGGTTCATTGAAATAAAACTAACAATTTACAATAGTCACACATACATGTATATAAATGATAAAAATGCCTCATAGATATTGATATCAGACATAACAAAAATTGATGTTGAACAAAAGTCAGTGTCGAACAACAAAAAAAAAGGGATTTTGACAGTGTTATATATTTAATATATATTTCTGAAATATTGTATTAATTGGGGAATGTAGAAGTACTACTACATTTTGATCATTTCTTTACAGACAATTAATAGCCAGACATTATATATTTGTATATTTCAGATCAGTTTTAGCTCCACTTGTTACTAGACGTGGTAAGGCGTGGTCTAATTTCTGGGGAGCTCTCAGTGCCACAGGTTTCTACGCTCGCTCGGAAGACTACATGGATATTGTACATGGTGATAAAATGTAAGATATAAAAACTTGTTCATTTATTTCTTTAAACTCACAAATCTGAGTGAAGCTCACGACAAACATATGTCATCAGGTTAACTCATTACTTCATGAGCATAATTATTAGGGATGTCATTCGGAGTCCGGATATCCGAACGTTCGGATAACGATTCGGTGTCCGGAGCCGATTTTCTGATCCGGATGTTCGTATAAAATATTTTAAAATATTGAGAAAATGTGATAAATACATGCGTTGAGATAATCGTAGACAATGGTCTTGACACCATATTGTATATTGTACCTTAATTTGACAATACACATCATAATCTCTGCAGACCACAAAAAATCAATAATTACTATAATAATTACGAGTCAATTATGACGAATGTTGTTAATCAAATTTAAGTTTTGTAAGATTCAACATGGATATTCTAATTATAAGTCCCGTGCGACTGTCATCGGCAACGATGTTACATTTTTTATATTTAATTAGGTTATTATTTTTATATATATTTCGGCTTACCGACCCGTCGACTCCTTATTTTGAGACAATAAAAAATCTGCAGAAATAAAATAAGCAAATAAAGAAATGCACTTACGAATTATATGTTAATTATCACAGCTTTTATTAAAATTGATACGAAAATTATCCGACAAAATAACTTTCTCCTTTAGTATTAATCAACCATGTGCATTTTTTTTTAAACATTTTTTTTTTCACATTTCTTTTTTCACTGATGAACACTTAAAATGTGTGTAATTCATGTAAGTTTAGGCACTTTCTTTGAAGATTCGAATCAAACAGCCAGGGCTACATGATGGTAAACATCAAAGATTGGCAGATTCTTTTGAAAAGCCGGCTACACGTGTGTTAAAGGTCATCGTGTGTAAATTGTATGCGTGTTATTGAACAATGGAAACATTATATTTAATTTTTACGGGTATTATTTTGTTTTCACAAATGTGAGCGAATTTTATTGCGTATTATAGCGCTAATTGAGGAATTCAGACAATCGGCGGCGAATTTCGTTTTCATTTCATTTGAAATTGTAAGTACCACATGCACGAAATTTATTGATAACAACTAGTCGTATTCTATATAGAAGAAATAAAATCAATAACGGAAAATTTTTGATATGTATCATTCAATTAAAAAGGAAGAAAAACGAAATACTACACTTTGAAAAAGGTCGCGAAAAAATGGTTACGTCATATCAGACATCTAAGAATATAACAACGATCCGAACATCCGGATGTATCCGGATGTTTGATTCGGATATCCGGATGGCCGTTTCGGCTCCAGATGACATCCCTAATAATTATTGTGAAAAATGGCCGTTTTCACTGAAAAGCATCCTCTTACAAGTTCAAACTGCTATGAAACTATGAAAAATGCTTCAATACTGAAGAAACTTGGCACAAATGTTGACTTGACCATAGCCTCTGTAACAGCATGCTCAATCTTAAATTTCCTGTTACCATGGCAACGAGGGGACATCTCAAAATTGCCAAAAATCACTATTTTGCATTGTTTTTTTCCTTCTAAACTGATTTCAAAGTGCTGCAACTTCTCAGTGGATTGAGATAGAGTAAAAGCCTTTTCAGCGTTGGTTACACGTTACCTTACGATTGACCTGAAGCCATTTTTAGCCTGTCACATGTCAAAAATTTTCTTGGCAAACCCCCGAAACAGAAGGGGGCACATCCCCCATCTGGCAACCCCTTGATGAACCTTTTGAATAGGGGTGGCACCGAAAAAGTGATAACTTTTTTATCAACATTACTCAAACAAAAAACAGTGTTTGGGCCTAAATAGGACATTTTTTTTCACTGTTTTAGGCCTTAACAGGGGGGGGGGGTGTTTGGTTGAAAAGCTGTCAAAACACTTCTATATGAGGTTAAGGGTTAAACCAGACAGGGCTTTTTAACCTATAATAATAAATGCAGCATAACAATTTTAAGGTAAAATATTTGTTGCACATTATTTCAGTGAAAGATATGTGTTCTTTAAATTCTCATTGTTTAAGTTTTTCTTCTGTAATTTTAAGTCAGAAGTATTTATTTCATTAATAAGTATAAAATGAATGTAAAAACATAATATAAGGAATATAAAAAGCTGTTTTAAGTTTATTTTAATCTTAAACTTTTAACTGGTGCCTGTTTGTGCCTGTAATAAGGCACAGAGCCGCACCTGAGGTCAGTAAGCTGGAAAGTTGCAATATGACCTCTACTTTTTTGGTGCAACATAAAACCCTACATCAACAAAAGTGAACTTTAATGGAAATAATATAGATATTTGACATTAAAGATTGAAAAATTATAATTCATTTACATTCTTTATGTTGATTTTTCCCCTATCTTTTTTACAGTGGATTATGGAACGTTCCATATATGACAGGGGTGTATCTTGTGCAAGCACATGTTTTACCTGCATTGAGAAATGGGTATGACTCTGACAGTCTGGATGCTGATATGGCATTATGTAAAACTCTGAGAGAAAAGGTATACACACAGCTTAAACCTTAGCCTGCTTGGTAGTGATAATTATAAAACTTTCCCACCAGTTTGTAAACAGACCTGCTGGTACTGATAATTATAAAGCTTTCCCACCAGTTTGTAACCAGACCTGCTGGTACTGATAATTATAAAGCTTTCCCACCAGTTTGTAACCAGACCTGCTGGTACTGATAATTATAAAGCTTTCCCACCAGTTTGTAACCAGACCTGCTGGTACTGATAATTATAAAGCTTTCCCACCAGTTTGTAACCAGACCTGCTGGTACTGATAATTATAAAGCTTTCCCACCAGTTTGTAACCAGACCTGCTGGTACTGATAATTATAAAGCTTTCCCACCAGTTTGTAACCAGAACTGCTGGTACTGATAATTATTAAGGTTTCCCTCCAGTCTGGAATCAGAACTGCTGGTACTGATAATTATAAAACTTTCCCACCAGTTTGTAACCAGACCTGCTGGTACTGATAATTATTGAGCTTTCCCTCCAGTCTGGAATCAGAACTGCTGGTACTGATAATTATAAAGCTTTCCCTCCAGTCTGGAATCAGAACTGCTGGTACTGATAATTATAAAGCTTTCCCTCCAGTCTGGAATCAGAACTGCTGGTACTGATAATTATAAAGCTTTCCCTCCAGTCTGGAATCAGAACTGCTGGTACTGATAATTATTAAGGTTTCCCTCCAGTCTGGAATCAGAACTGCTGGTACTGATAATTATTATGGTTTCCCTCCAGTCTGGAATCAGAACTGCTGGTACTGATAATTATAAAGGTTTCCCTCCAGTCTGGAATCAGAACTGTTTATTTTGACATTTCAGGGTTATTTTATGTTTATTTTGACATTTCAGGGTTATTTTATGTTTATTTTGACATTTCAGGGTTATTTTATGTTTATTTTGACATTTCAGGGTTATTTTATGTTTATTTTGACATTTCAGGGTTATTTTATGTTTATTTTGACATTTCAGGGTTATTTTATGTTTATTTTGACATTTCAGGGTTATTTTATGTTTATTTTGACATTTCAGGGTTATTTTATGTTTGTTACAAACAGGAAAGAGTTTGGTTACCTGATCAACTCAGATGGAGCACAGACTGGTAGACTTCATATTGAATTATGGGAAATATTTAATAACCCGTACGATTGGGAGAAACGATACATACACCTAAATTATTCACACAGTTTAGCAGAAAATGCTGTCATAGAACAGGTAATGGCAATCATTAATCATTTTGAAATTTGAATTTGAATACATACCTTGTCCAGTAAGAACATATTTTACAATGGTAAGGTTTACAATAGTATGTCTACTTTTGTGTTCCTCTGTCATATAACTTACACGGAGAAGTTGGCAAGTAATTATAGAAAAAATAATTAACTTCTAGTATTAAGTCTATCTGCATTTTTCCAGGCCTTTTTGACCGTGGAGTTAAAGTAGTGGACTGTGTACAGACCTGGGGTAATCACTAATCGTAATCATCGATTTTTTAATTGATTACATGATTACACTGTAATCATCATGTAATTGATTACCTTGCTCCAAATTGATTACATTAATTGTAATTAATCAATTACAGCTTAAATTCAGTCTGTAATTATGATTACAATTTGATTGATATTGATTACTTTCAGATTTTACATGAAACTATTGAAATTCAAATGATTTATTTCACATGATATAGTTTAACTAAGGTAGTAAAATATCAAGTGAGACATTTTAAGACATCACTCACAATGAAGAAATAAGTTTTAATCCATACAGTTAACCAAATTCTAACTGAAAGATAGACATCATTGTTTGGCTGGTATTCTAACCAAAATGTCAAATCATTGGATTTATAATGTCTTTGAATTTCCTAAAGAAACATCTGGAAATGTGACAGCACAGTGCAAATTGTGCCCTAAGAAGATAAATGGAAACACTAAGTCACATTCAAATTTCATTACCCACATAAAGGTATGTTAAATTTTGTTTCACATATTTTGGTTAAACCATGTTTTAAAAAGTTTCAAACAATGTAGATAACTTCTTTACTTTGTATATTCTAGAGTTCATGTCAGATGCATATTACCATATTTTAATTATATGCAACAGTTATTTTGTAAGGTGATAGACAATGTGTCTATAGTATATTATAATGGATACTGTTGTACCATTGAAGTGTTTGTAAAAAAAACCTGATAATTTCTTTGTAAAGTCTTTTGTCTCTTTGAATTCCCATACAACAATTTATTGTTTTCACACCTGTATACAGTATACTGTACAATTGACACTTTTAAAAATTTCTGTTGCAGAGAGTTCATTATGAAACCTACACCAAGAAGACTGAGGACCATCCCTGCGTTATTGGCCCCTGTAGAGCGTTTGTTTAGTGTTGCGGGTAAATTTTTCGGTCCTGATAGATGCAGTCTGACTGACAGACGGTTTCATGAACTTATGATGCTAAAGTGCAATGCTAAAATATGATAAAGTGATGTGACAGGAACTAAAAGTGTGTTAAAATGATGACTGTTGATGAGCTGGAAATCCTTTGTGTATATAATGTATATAATGTATATATATATTAAATAGCATTAAGAAACTTTTGTTTATAGTTATACATGGAATGTAATCAATTATCAATCAATTACTTTCTCAAAGTAATTGTAATTTAATTGATTACAGAGGCAAGTCTGAGTAATCAATTGTAATCAATTACAATAGAATCTGAAAGTAATTGTAATTAATTCAATTACTGATCAATGTAATCATCCCCAGGTCTGACTGTGTACCACTTGCCCCTATGAACCACTTGCCCCTAGTGGTTTGAATCTTTCCAAGAACTTAAAGAGTTTTTTTTAAGTGAAGAAGTTGTAAAGAAGATTGTTTTACTCAGGTACCAGCATGTGCCTGAAGAAACATTTTGTTGTGTGAATATATGTCAATAAATAATAATGACTGGAATACTATTAACCCTTTCACTGCCATAGGGATGGCTTATGCCATCCATGTTATTTTTTGGCGTATTTGCCATATGGACGGCTTTTGCCGTTTCTATAATAATCATAATAATAATAATAAATTAATAAAAGTAATAAATATAATAATAAATATAAAGAAAATTATAACATCGACAATAATTATTATTATACTAGCATATTTTGAAACATATATAATTATTATAATACTAATATCATATAATAATAATAATTGTATTAATTAATAATATAGTAATTTCTTAGAAAACCCTCCAGTAATCATCAGGGTACGGTAGCACCGTTTCCGGCTAAATGTAAACAAAGCCGAGAGAAATAAAATTAGCCAAAATATCAATAAAAAGGCACGAACAAAAACAATAGACACTAAAACTATAACTGGCGGCAGGTACAACAACCACACAATACCATCCCACACCAACAACGACACCACTGCGTCCCACTGCGTCTCATACCACGTTAGAAGAAGGCTCCATAGTGACGGCCATCCCCCACCCACTACAACCCACTACAACCATCATCGTCGGGACATCACCTTCAACCTTTCCTCCACTAAATTATTACAAAATTATTTGAATGCTTTGTTTCCTTTAGGAATTGTTTATATATTTTATATTTTAAAACCATTTTATATCAAAGCATTCGGTCGTATTGGACCAATATAGTGTGTGTTTGGTTTGTTTACCTGTTTTGTGCATCAATCAATATATCTGTGTTATATATATACAACAATAGAAGAGCTGGTATCTCATACCATTTTTAATACAGAACCTTTAAAACATTAGTATATTTACTAGTTTTACATGAATTGGCGGCTGGTCCGCAGTATATAAATTTTAATTTAAATGAGGTACAGGGTGGCCCGACAGGGGCCATCCCGTCACCATAGGGACCTGTCGGGTGTCCTTGGCAATGCCTTGGACAAACGAGAGGGCCACTATATAAATAAGGCAGTAGCCAGGAACGTCGGGGTCCTGAAAGGGCTAAATGGAAGGATAACTAATTTAAAAATTAGGACCCTGTCAAGTGAAATACACCTGAAGGTAAAAAATGTGCTTAAGGCAACACCTCTCGCGTCGGGTAATATTTTTCTTGAGTTCGCGTCAATGGAAGCACTTAACAAGGCACTGTATCTCCCCAAGTTTAAGCTTGGAGGGATAGAGTGCATTATTAAAGGACTACCTCAGGAACGCCTCTATGAGGTAGTCATCCACGGCATTCCGCTGGAGGAAGATCTGGCAGAATTCCAACATAAGTTGGAATATGACAGATCTGATGGGGCTTCACTCGTGAGGGTCGACCGTCTCCAGAATAAGCATAGGCAAGATTCTGGGGCGGTTAAGTTGACCTTCGCGGGGGGGTGCCCCATCATTGTGAGCATCGCGGGCGAGGGCACGGAAATTGTATATAGGACGGAGACCTATGTACACCCTCCAAAACGCTGTTTTTTGTGTCAGGGATACGGGCATATTTCGAAATCTTGTAAACACAAAGTAGCTTGTGGCCGGTGCGCTGGAGGTCACAATACTAGGTCTTGTACCTCGGATAATATCAGATGCTCCAACTGTGGGGAAAAACACGTTGCAGCCTATACGGGCTGTAACGAATATGTCAAGGCCACCGCCATTATGGTCTTGGTCAGGACCAGGCGGGTGAACTGGGGAAAGGCCACTGCCCTGTTCTATAAAGAGCTTGAACAGCTAAAAGCAGAGGAGGATAGGGGCCTTCTCCCGGTCCGCCCCCTGGAAATGACTAACACCCAGCCCCCATTTTCTCCCCACAGGGGGGAGGGTGGGGAGAGCATGGGTGAATTGAGAGATGGAGTGGGGGTGGATAACTCCACTTCTATGCCATCTCCCCCCATTTCCCCAATATGGGGAAATGGGATAAATACACATACCCCGGGCTCCCCATGTGGGGAGCGGGGGGGACTGGGCGTTAATGTAAATATTTTGGGAGTGAGCGTGGAGGGGGAATCTCCCCCCTCTGGGCTCACTCCCCCCATTTCCCCATATGGGGGAAATGGGGTACCAAATAAGTCCCCAATTAAATCCTATGGGGATGTTGTTAAAACAAAGACTCCCCAAGGGTCTCTCCCCAAAATCTCCTTAGTTGGGGGGGTGGGGACTCCCTCCCCAACATACCACTGTAAGGGAGATCCAATTATGACCCCAAGCAGGGGTTCGAACCATAAGACCGATATCAAAACCCCCACAGTTGGAGGCAAATGTACATCTACCCCTAATAGTAGAGAGACTGTGGGGCCCTCTGCGGGGACAGAGAACACTTCATCTCTCATGGATGATCCAACCATGAGTGATAATGGAGTGTTCAATGTCACCGAGGAGGACTCCATAGTCTCAGTCCATACATCCTGTATGAACAGCTCATTGGGGGAAGTCACCCCAATGGGCTATAATAATTTAACTCTTTCGGGCCTCTGTGAAATAGAGGTCACACCCCTTAAGAGTCAGTTGCGGGTGCCGCCAAATGTCAATAAATCATGTCAAACGTCTTTAACCCCCCCACCCAAGGTTAAACAAGAAAAAATTCAGGTCAAATATGATGATAGGGTCAAAAATATAGATATTAACAGTTTGACCCTATTAATTAGGGACATTATAAATAATAAAAGTAAACCGGCCAAGAACAGGCTAGAAATCTTTATCAAAAATATTCTTCTAGTACAATTAGGCCTAAAACCTGATATAGACATGTGCGGCATCCCCAACTTAAAAAAGAAGGTACACAGAAAGCTGACCTCCAGTGGCGCCGCCATGATAGGTGGGGGCTATAGAAACCCCGGCACCCCACACAAACTGAAATCAAGCCGTAAATCCATCAACCAAATGTGTGTATCCCCTTTTGTTAGGAACAAATTAAATTTAGCAAAATCAAAACAGCTCAACCATGTCTAGACAATTCAATATCATATCATTTAACATCCAAGGATTTAGTAGTCATAAACATGTAGAAATCAAACATTTATTAGACAATAACCCCCAAATTGATATTCTGTGCTTACAAGAAACAAAATTTATAGAAAATTATGTTAGGACCATCCCTGGATTTAGGTCAGAATTTAAATTTTTTTCAGGTCCTAACACACCAAAAAATAATATAGCAGGGGGTTTAGCAATTTATATCAAAAACAGTATTAACTATGAGGTAATCACTGTAGATAATCCAACAAATGATCAAGGGGAAGTGATCTTTGAAGTACAAGCCATTAAG